GTTGTTTTGTTTGCCTGTGACCAGGTTGTAAACAGTAAGTGGTGTGAGACTGAACCATACATGAACATTTTAGCTGCCTGAAGTGACAAATGTGATCTTATGGACCGAAAATTTGCGATATTAAATTTGACTCAATTGCAGACCTTTTTTTATCTGTGATTTAAAAGTTAGTTTAGAGTCTGTTAAGATGCCTAGGTATTTTAATTCTGACACAACTTTTATTTTTTCACCTGTCACATAAATATATCATTTATATTTATTGGACGCTTTTATCCAAAGCGACTTACAATTGCTTTTTATGTCAGAGGTTGCACGCCTCTGGAGCAACTAGGGGTTAAGTGTCTTGCTCAGGGACACAAGGTGGATGGGTCACAGTGGGGGATTGTCCATTGCGCCCCCACCACCCCAAATATCTGCCTGATTATTTGCAATGTTTGATTTAGAAAAGTACATTGAAACTGTTTTATTTACATTAAGTTTTAAGCAGGATTGGTTTAGCCATTCAGAGAAATGGGCCATAGACTGTGTAAGTTTTTCAGCAACTTTTTGTGTTTTTACCATGGGTATAAATGACTGTATCGTCTACGTACATCTGAATATAGACGTCTGAACAAACTGAAGGGAGGTTGTTTATATAAAGTGAAAATAGCAGAGGCCCCAAAATAGAGCCTTGAGGTACCCCATGTAGACATGACGAGGGGCGGTGAGTGGTATTCACTGATCCTGACTGACTGTGAGCGAATTCAGTAGATAACAATGTAGTATGTAGTCATATGTGCACAGATAACATTATGGATGGCTTTATCCACTTTGTTCTTATTGGGGATTTCCAGTACCAGAATTGGATTTGTGAATGGGCTGAAAACACTAAATGAATACATTGTACCAAGTTTACTTGCCATAAGCATTGCCTTTGAGTATGCATTCACTCCTCCTTCGCTTCATTTGCCACATAATGGGGATTTGGTTATAGCGTGTCTGTTAATGATGAACTGTCCAGGGTATTTTACTATGTCTCCTATATAGCATTAATACCACTTAATAATAATAATAATAATAATAATAATAATAATAATCTTTATTTGTAGAACACTTTTCAAATACAAGTTACAAAGTGCTTTAACAAGTGTAAAGACAATAATACCCAAAAGACAATAATACAAAAACAAGACAAGATAAAAGCAAGAAAACATTAAAAAGACTAAAATACACATTTAAGATAAATCTAAAATAAGTAAAATAGAATAAAATAAAAGGGATAAAATAAAGTCAAAATCGGGAAAGGCTCTCCTATAAAAGTATGTTTTAAGAAGGGACTTAAAAGAGTTCACTGACTCGGCCGACCTGATTTCCTCGGGCAGGCTGTTCCAGAGCCTCGGCCCCTGACAGCAAACGCTCTGTCCCCTTTAGTTTTCAGTCGAGACTCTGGAACAGACCTCTGCCCGAGGATCTCAAGGTACGTGCTGGTGTGTATGGGACTAAAAGATCAGAAATATGACAAGGTGAGAGGCCATGAAGAGCTTTAAAAGTGATCAATAAAATTTTAAAGTCAATTCTAAAACATACTGGGAGCCAGCTAAGATAGGGGTAATTTGGTCATATTTCCTTGTTCTGGTTAAAAGCCTGGCAGCTGAGTTCTGGACAGTCTGGAGTTGATCAGTAGAGTTTTGGGGTTAAACAAGTGAAAAGGATGTTGCAATAATCCAGGCATGATGAGATGAAGGCGTGTAAAATGGTCTTGGTGTATAATTTGGCGAATATTTGCTATATTTCTAAGTTGATAAAAACATGATTGAACAAGCTTTGTGGTGTGCTACTCGAAATTTAAATTACTATCAAACCAAACACCAAGGTTCTTTGCAAAAGGCTTAATGTGATTTACCGGGGAACCAGCAGATGGCAGTATTTGTTTTGCCATCTGCTGGGACCCAATGACCAGGATTTCTGTTTTGTCTGAGTTCAACTGGAGGAAATGATTTGACGGGAGCTGGGATTGAACTGCCAACCTTCCAATTAACGGCCAACCCGCTCTATCTCCTGAGCCAAAGCCACCATGCTTACTGCTAATATGTCAAAGGGGAAGCAGATACAAGGAAAACAAAATGGGTACTAAGACCGACCCCTGAGGCACACCATATTTAACTGGACAGAACGAAGAGACATTATTGTTTATAGACACGCAAAACTTCTTATTTGACAGGTAGGATGAAAACCATTCTAGGGCAGTACCAGAGATCCCCACCCAGTCTGTCTAACATGATGTTGTGATCAATGGTGTCAAAAGCAGCGTTAAGGTCCAGGAGTACAAGGACTGAGCACATGCCTTCATCAGCAGACATTAAAAGGTCATTGGTGACTTTAAGCAGGGCAGTCTCAGTGCTGTGGTACTTCCTGAAACCAGACTGAAACTTTTCAAATAATTTGTTATTTTCCAGTACAGTGAGCAGCTGTTTGGATAAAATTATTTCTAAACTCTTTGCAATAAAAGGCAGTTTTGAAATTGGTCTAAAATTTTGTGGGAGGGAGGGATCTAAACCTGGTTTCTTTAAAAGTGGGTTCACACAAGCCGTTTTAAAATATTCAGGGACACAACCAGTAGATAGGGAGCTGTTGAAAACAGAGATCAAATGGGGCCCTACAGAATCCATTACTTAAAAACTTTGTAGGTATTACGTCAAGTGGGCTGGAGGACACTCTCATTTGTGATACTGTTTTTAAAAGCTCAGACAAGTCGATGGGATAAAACTGGTTAAAACTCTCTTGTTGCTGGTGAGGAACCTCTGAGTAAGAGGCCACGGGGGTAATAGAGGCTCTGATTGACACCACCTTATTTTTTCCAATAAGGTGGATAAGATAAGATAAAAATCATTACTTCCAGCTGAGGCACAAGGAGGGGTTGGGTTTACCAGCTGATCCACAGTCTTAAACAGAAACCTGGGATTGTGTTTATGTGTAGTAATGAGTTCAGAAAAATAGTGTGTTCTCGCATCCTTAACCATGTTATTGCAGTTAATTAATAAATCCTTCAGACTGAGGTAATGGACTTGGAGACTGGATTTTTTCCATCTGCGCTCTGCTTTCCTGCTTTCTCTTTTTAGGGTGCGAATGCTGTCATTTATCCAGGGTTGCTTACCAGCTTTAGACGTAGGCCTAACCTTTAGAGGAGCAGTAATATTTAGTGACGACAAGCAGATATGATTGAAGTGATCGACCAGATTGATGGTGTTGGAATCAGACAGGTGTTGGCTTTGGCTCTGAAAGAATGCGCAAAACTTTGAAACACTTTGTTCATTAAAGATGCGAGAACACACGGAGCTTGATGAGGCGGCATGAGTAACAGGAGATTCGCGGCTAAAAACAATACATCTGTGGTCAGATATGGTCATGTCCACTAATTCCACAGAGGAAATGCTGACACCCAGGGTAAAAACCAAGTCCAGTGTATGACCACGGTTATGGGTTTGCCCTTTGACATGTTGTTTGACATGTCAGTTGCATTAATATTGGTGGGGTCATCAACATGAATATTAAAATCACCACAAAGAACAATTCTGTCTTAATTTAAAACCAGAGTAGATAAAAATTCAGGAAGTTCTGATAATCCTCCAGACGGTTTTGAGGGATGATAAATTATAACAAATATGACAGGTTGCAGCCCTCCAACTTTAAGAGTGAGAACTTCAAAGGAGTTAAATTCATCACAGCGTATTTGATGACATTTCAAATTTTTCCTATACACGCTCATTAGTCCACCACCACGACCACTGACCCTCGGTTGACTAAAACATCATATTGAGGCGAACACAGTTCAGCTACCTGGCTATAGTCATTCAGGCATAATAATAAAGGCAGCACCAAAATATGTAGCATGCCTAAACAAACTGGTACAAAATGAAGTAGAGGGATGACACTCAGATTCAGCATTCAGAAATAATGAATATTTATACTAAATAACAGAATTTAACTAACTAAACTCTGGACTCCACCCTTCAAAAAGGGAAAATGATAGCCAACATGACTCAGTTGTGGAGGTTTCTAAGTTCTTGACTCGTAAACAAAACTTCATCTTCAAGTTCTTTAAAAAAAATAAATGAGGTATAATAAACAACACACTACACACCCAACTTATAACTAAATATACAAATTGATGAATGTACATGCAATGAACACAGCAATAGACAAGCTTAATTTGTGTGAACAAAGGAGACCACACCACCAACATTAACCTGTGAAAATAACTCAGCAGCTCAGATTGCTGGGAAGTAAAAGGAAAATATCTGAAACCATTCAGATTGTTTCTATATTGATGTGGGACTTTATTTCTAACCTAACCTTCCCTAATTGCCCTAACACTGTGGCATTAACCCCAAGGTTGGGAAGGGAAAGTTAAGATTCACCTCCTTGTTGAGCTCTCAGTTTTACTTGGGGTGATAAACCATGAGGTGGCTCAGCTTTACCGTTATCTCTCTCTCTCTGCAGGCGGCAGGATGATGACATTTTCTCTCACCACTTAGTCAGATCATAGGCATTTTAGTTACCTTTGGACAGAGCCAGGCTAGCTGTTTCCACCAGCTTCCAGTCTTTGTGCTGAGCTAAGCTAACCAGCTTCTGGCTGTAGCTTCATATTCACTGTACAACCATCAGAGTGGCATTTTCTCATCTAGACCTCAGCAAACAAGCATATTTCTCGAACTGTCAAACTATTACTTTAAGGAGAATGGAACGATGAGTGTACAAAGAACACTTTAGTAGTAGTCGGATAAATGAACAATAAGTAATGAAGCCTACTGCTTGAAGAATGTTTAAACATGTGGCATCATGTGCAAAGGTGGACAGAATTTACCCAAGTGGACAAGTTCATTCTTTAAAATTGACTCAATGAGTTGGAGCTACTATGGATGGGATTGGTGCTGATCATAGACTGGGGATAATTCTATGTAATACCGCAGTTGTGTGGATGTAAAGACAAGAAAGGACCATGTCTTGACATTGCACATGAATAAGCAGGATAAAACTTTATTAATCAATAAAACTTTGCTCTTTGACAAAGAAATACCTCATAGTTCTTTTACATAAATAAATTGTGTTTACAGCATCTGTAATACCACTGTTATCATTACTGTACAAACAGACAAATAATAATGCTGTTACATTGTCAGATTTATTGGAAATTCATTTACATCTTTCCATGTAAGCTTTGTGTGTGTGTGTGTGTGTGTGTGTGTGTGTGTGTGTTTGTGTGTGTGTGTGTGACTGCAATGTATCTGTAACCACTGAAGCTGTAAGGGTTTTTACAAGCCCATGCAAAGCCTAGAGCAACAGAGAAGTGGTTAGTATTGCTATCATAATTTTGTGAAAATAAGTGAAATGATTGGTGTGATGCCTCTTATGGGGCGATGGGAATAAATCAGTTCAATACAAGTACACCTAGAGTGGACACATGTTTTCAGTGATTTAGCACAGTTCATCAAGCTGCAGAACTGGACATGTTTCTGAGCTATTTCAATGAAACAATGAAATGGAGTCAAATAGTATCCCACCTGCCTGTTTGAGCAAACAAGTAATACATGTTCAGAGATAATTTCTTTAAAAACCTCTGACAGTCTTTTAGCGAGATGGACCGTGAGGGTTGAAAAATGTCATGGTGCAGAGGAAAAACCACATTATAGATGAATGAACTGCAACTGCAACTCTGGTGATCATAGAATTCCAGTTAACATATTTATAGTTTTTGGTATTCAGCTGTTGCACTTACCCAGTGATTTAGAGAGAGAGCAACAGCTTCAAAGAGCACTGACTTCTAAGGAGTGTAAGGGGGACAGGCACAGCACCTGGCCTAAATTTTCTGTAGCATGAATGTGCACAAGAGAAGTGGCATGAAAATAAGACTAAAGTGCAACGAAGAGAGGTAGAAAGGATTCTGTTGCCAAGATCAAAATGGTTTCCAGTTTATCCAAACACAATATAGTTAACCATATGAGCCACAGAGCTAGTGAAGATACCGTTACTAAGACTGAGTTATCATGAGTTTGTTCTGTGCCTTATGTGGTGGTCATTAGCGTGTAAACACTGTGCTTTGCTAGTTAAAGTGATTGTAAAGATTGTCTTCTATGCATAAGAGAAGGGGGTGAGGGGGCATTACAAATCAGTGTGCTGTTGGTGAGTTGAAGTAGTGTGAGCTCATCCACGCCTTCATTTTATAACTAATACTTATTCTTCACACAATGGAACTAAAGATAATATCAATACATTTGCACCTTGTCCAGTGTGTTGACTCTGAGTCGATAATTACAGTGTTGAGTGGATGTACTATAGGCCCCTTCAGAATCACTGTCCAAGGCTTTGTAACTGTCTTCAGCGTGGGATAAATTTAGACTCTCTCCCTTGGATCCAGTGTGCTGAATACTAATTAAAATTCCTGTCATGTGGCCACCTACCACAAGGGGGCTCACAAGCACTTTGGATTCACAACTACAGCCCACAAACTAATGTGAACAATACCAAGGTTAGTGACACATCTATGAATTATTTATAGCTTTTCATTTCTAGTTTGATTAATCTCAATGAATTTGTATAAAAGCGATTTTATTAAAGAAATCTAAATTTGAGGTGCTGCTCTTCCTCCAACTATACAGCAAGAGGGTGACAGCGAAGGTATTCCTCTCACTATCATCCACACCATTCATCATTGTTTCTTTAGAAATTTGTGCCAGTGGGTAAATTGGGGCTGTGGTCAGTTGCTAGTCCTGTTTCGACATTTGCTTAATATATATAATCATTTGCTTTAGACAGCTTCTGTGCATCAGTGATATAGAGGCCTTGGACAGTGCTGTCAGACACCTACATCCAATCTCAGATTTTCATTTACAGTGCTAAAACTTACAGTAATACTTGTCATTTAATTTCACCAATAATCTACAGCAATATGGAAAACAACATTTACAGTATAAGCACTATAGAGTAAACATTTTTAATTATATGCAACATTGATCATCCTGTACTTGAACTATATGCTGTCTACTCCAAAAAGCCTGTTATGTCGGCCATAAAGTACAATGACTATATTTGTTACTTTTTGTACTGATGCACCCAAACAGTGTAATAAACATATTTACAGACTGTGTGGTTTGTATTTACATTGCATTCATTGCACATAATAATGAACAATAACGATGGGAACGTGCACAATAAATGGATAATAAGCATGTAAGCAGACACAGGAGGAAAAACAGCCTTTGCAAAACGATGCAATGAAAATTATATTCCCACAGGCTGCTTTTTCTGTTTCATTATGCTTTGTTTCACCTTAGGTTTGTTTCATCTTCGTCTTATCCAACTTTCCATATGAACTTTGCAGTCAAAACGAGGAAAAAAATAAAAAAAATAGTAATAAAAGTAAATCTTTGTTAGAAAAATTGATAAATAACATGATCATAGCAATTTGTACAGGAAACCTTCCTGCAGAGTTTAGTGCTTTTACATCTATTATTTCTTTAAGTCTGAAAAGTGGTTAAGCCTGGTAAAACTTTACTTTCCAAATTTCAAGTAAAAAACAAAAGATACTTAATGGATTACAGTGAATAACTGATGGTTGGTAAAAAAATCAAAAGATATGTACAATATATGGCAATGTAACATGTGATACAGATAGAGCAGTTAAATACCCTCAAATCATTTCTTAGTTTTTAGTTACCCATTGTGTCTAAATGGGCACTGTGCTAAACTGTCAGCAGCAAACACCAGTGCATGGTTTGCTAATTTGTGCTTGGATACATTACATACAATACAATAGGCTACACAATGCAATATAAACTGATCAAATGACTTGTGCACTTAGGTTTATAGCCATTGTATGGCAAATGTTTGTCCTTAGTGTCTCCTGTCCTCTTTACTGCTGTTTGCTTTTAGTTGTAGAGTTTCTAGATCGAGGCCGACCTCACCGTGTTCGCTGATGCTTTTCACCTTCTGGAGACAGGAGTGTTTGCTGACTCAGTACTGCTTATGAGCTCTCTGTCTGAGTGCCCTTTTCTCTGCTTCCCACTCTGTATAGTGGCTGCTGCTGTTGAAGGGAGGAGGCTAGTGACACAAACTCCTCTCTGGCTGTATTAGGAAAGGAACAGGTGTGCTTGTATATATTAATTTAACTTAAAAAGTAGTAGGCAGCTCTCAGCTCAACATGAAGTTTGTATTCTTAATTGAGATACAATAGGAAGACACAACACATTTGTGGGAATTGTTAGGTCTCTGAAAATAATATTACAAAGAGTACGGCCTAGACGTGCTCTATATGAAAAGTGCAATGAGATCATTTTTGTTATGAATTATATAAATAAACTGAACTGAATACATGTTGATCCCCATTATGCCCATTACAACAATAGCTGAACCCACAAGGACAAATGATTATATTGTAGTCTGTGATGATATGAATGTTATCTAAGCAGCAAGTACAGTATGTCTAGGTTCCAAAGCTCCAGTTGGTGGACAGTAGTCTCAGTTCTTGAGCCTTTTCCTTGTTCTAGGTGTAGAAGAAGAGAAGTGTTATCTTTCCAGGAGGTGGTCTTCAATCATGTCCTTTCCCCTCAAAGTCTCTCAGGCGTCTGCGTTTGTGTGTGTGTGTGCATGCATGTGTGTTTGTTTATGTCTGAATGTACTATGTACAGTATATACAGCATGTGTGTATATATTCATGTGTATAAGAACATGGGTGTATAGAGTCTGTATGTACTGAATGTGCAGGGGTAGTGTGGATTAAAGTGTGTTTGAAAGACAGAGAGAAGAGGGCGGAGGGCAGGAGGCAGCCAGGTGTTTGTCGGTGTGTCTGTGTGTTTGTGTGTGTGTGTGTGAACCTGCTCGTCTGGTCAACACACAGGTGTCTCACTCAAAGCGTTCGTAGTTCCTCGTCTGTCTCACACGGGGCACCATGTCCCTCAGGAGTCTGCGGGGACAGAAACAAGGTCTCATTGGAAAGAATGTAAATGTCCAAGGAGCCCAACTACTACAGATCTGTCAAGTTGACATGTGAATCTGGCATTGATAGAATATGGATGGCAGAAATTATGAAATATTTGAGATCATATGAAGAAATATAGACCGGGGACTGCTGTTGGTTTATCTCTTACTTGACGCCATATGCCAAAATGATGAATCCAATGAGAACTCCAATGGTGCCATCCAGAAACCACACATCAGTGTGATGCTTGAAGACTTCGGCGCTGATCAGAATGGAAAATCCCATAATAGCACCGACCAAAGAGTTAAAGCCTAAAAAAAACAAACATGGAGGAAATGTCATGTCTGTTTATGCATTGTATGTATGAGTCAAGTAGTTTAACCCTAAATACTGGTGCTGGGCAACGATTAAAATCTTTAATTACGATTAATCGCATTGTTATGCGCAAAATTTAATAATGAATTCTAAAGTAGTGTATTGTGCAATTTTTATTTAAATTTACTGCTATATATATAAAGCGCAAAAACATGTGTTTGCAAACACTTTAAACAAATAAGGTACTTTTTACCAGCAGTATTCCCTTTACACAGTAGCAATAAAATATTTCCTGTAAATCTCAACTTAAATATTAATGTAATCAAATCAAATATTAAACCAAAGCTATTGCCACTGCCAGGGCTTTACCTTTTATCTAACTTGTTAAAACAAGTTAGCATCAGAGTTCAGAGCCACGATCATAACATCATAACTGGTTAACATATTTAAATCTGTTTTCTTGTTTTGCTTTAACAGGTATCCGCAGAAACATTTTTTATCTGGGAGCAGCATAAACAGTCTATGTTCAACAGCATAAACAGTCTATGTTCAGTAGCAACTACTCAGAGAGTCCCTGTTAAGGCCTTTTCACACAGGAAGCGATTTATGCACCTTGTAAATCATTTTCATTGAGAGGCGAGTGTGTAGGAAGGGAGGCGTGGGCATTTTGACAGGCGTAGCGACAAGTGGGCGTGTTCCTGTGAAACTGTCGCAGTCGTGCTCGCCTCACGCAAGTGCCCGCCAGCTGCCGAAGTTGAATTGTCTTAAACTTTGGGTATGCGACGTGCAGCACAAATCTTTGGAAGAGAGACTGATCCTCGTTGTTTGTGAGTCTCCAGAATCTATTAATGTTTACTAAATAGTTATCAGGACATGGCAGAGCATCCCAGCAAAACTAGATGAAGGCCTATCAGGTAAAGTTATGTATGTTAACTTAAGTTAAATTGACTACAGCTGTGTAGCGCACAGAAGCTGTTGCCATGGTTACTCTCCATAGAGCGCCTGCTGTTTACTCGCGGAGCGCTGTCTTACAGATCCCACACGCTGCATCCACTGCTTGTCTGGGTGGGTGATTTGCAGGCTGATCAACATCCCACCCCTCCTGTGACCCGTGCTTTGACTGGATGTGTATTCAAAGCCAGTGAGCAACGGACTTTCAAACTAATAATAATAATAATAATAATAATAACTGAGTCAACATGAGATAAAATAATTGTCGGCGTTAATTAATTAATGCATTATCCTCTCATGGAACTCATGGCAAGAAAGCAAAGAAGCATATTTACCAAAGTTTGGGATTATTTTAAACAAACCTTTACCACAGAAGTGGAAAGGGAGAAACCTTCTGGAGTTGTTTTTGAAACTCTCAAATACAAATGGCTAAAGCCTACATAATTGTTGGCTACATGGCCTGTATTTGAGTTGCCCTGTATACCCTTATATACCCTGTATTTATAATTACATTTCTACTGTTGTGAAAGCTAGCATAGAGGGTTATTGTCTCGCCTGCAGTGAGTGTATAGTCTTGTGGGAAATATATCCAAGCTCTGAGAACAGCAACCTCAGGTTTATTGGATTGATGCCCTGTGTGTTCTGAGACCAAGGGATAGCAGTGTGTGTGTGTGTGTGTGTGTGCTGTGTGCTTTTGTACACATGTGCATGTGTCTATAAGCAGCGTGTGGGTCACAACCTATTAGATCTTTCAATTCAGTGGTGTGAGTAACTCCTTCTCTCACACAGAAAAACACACAAGTATCCTCTGTTTTGTGGTTTTGGTTTTAATGCTGTTTTGTTTTGGTTGTCACGTGTTGTGTTTGGGGTTAGTTCCCCTAACTTTAACCATGGCTTTCAACATTTGGTTCAGGGTCAGGGAAGGTTATTTCATGGTATCTTAAGCTACTTCATACTTCTACCACACTACCTTTCAGAGGGAAATATTGACTCCACCACATTTATTTAACAGATAAAGCTTTTAGTTACTATGTAGATTAAGACTTTGAAGCCTATAATGAGCATATAAAATGTCATAGAGATATTTAAACCACCCAACAGCATAAAAAATAATAAAATAACCCCCTTTTGAACCGGCTGTTAAACAATCAAATGCCTCTAACAAGTGAATGCATTACTAATAATCCAACAATAATATTTAATACTATAACAAGGGCCATTTTGTTGTACTTTTATTTTAAGTATATAGGGTTAGGGTTAGTTTTCTGTGCATTGATATTGAATAAATCTACCACTGTTTGTTTAATATTACTAAATATTATTAAATATTTATATGTTAATGTTTCATTTAAACATCTTAACGTGAATTCTTTTAATTTATATAAATATACTATAATATGAAAATAAATGCACATGGTTTCAACAACATTTTAGCTTCTTTTTGTCCCTGTTGAGCACCCCCAGTTCCTCTATTTACAGTATCCTTCAACACTACATCCTCTAAAACTCAAAATCATTTTTAAAGCCATATTTTTCTCCCTCAACTACTTGTCACCAGCAGGAGAGAGACACAGACATTGATTATCAGCAGTAGGCAAAAGAAATGTCTTATGAGTTACAGAATATTTTCCTGGGCATTTGTCTGTATTGAGTGAGTCAAATGCGTTGTAAAGACCTCTTAGTTTGGTGTGCTATTCATTTATTTATATTTAACTATGTGTGTGTGTGTGTGTACCATACCATCAGTGATAAGTGCCCTGCTAGTCAGCACTCTTCCCAGCATGAACTTGGCCACAGCCAGCACAGCACACGTGAGCCCACTCACTATAGACACACTGAAGAGAAAGTCATCCTACAGACAGACAGGGAGGAGAAGATAGAAAAGCAGATTATTTGTTAATAGGTTGCGGTAAACTTTGTGTGCTGGCTGATAAAGGGGGAAAGGCTAAAGATAAAGCAAGCAAACAAACTGAGAGGAAGCTCAGGCTGTACAGACACTGTGTGGATCGCCAACGTGATCAGTCAGACGGAATGACCCACAAAGCTTTTGTCAGCTCAACCATTAATAATATACTGTATATACAGACTTGGTGCATTAATCCGAAGGTCATACAGATGACATCTCTTAAGTGATGTGAGTCTCTGGTGTTTTCAACTTAAGTCTCCAACTGACTCAGCAAAAACCAACGCTAGACCCCACAGGGCCTCCCCCTCCAATGTAATTGGCCCAACAGAAGGGGAGAGAGACACAGACAACAATGAGAGGAAAAATAAATGATAAACTGGGACAGTAGGAGACATGTGAAAATGGACCTCACCTTTCTTCACTAGACTTTTGGTCAGGGCTATTTATAACACATTTGGATCAAATATAGCAATGTGCATAGTTTGTGTCACACAAACAGACAGGCCTGTTTCAGAGCAGACTGACTCTGAGAAGGGAAAGCACAGGTGTTACTAAAAAAATTAACGATGGCTTTGTCCTAGTAAGCCATGGCACTGTGAAGGTGAGCCAGCATGCACAATAGCAAGACCCCATATCTAATGCAGCTAAATGGAAATCAGCCATGATTTATTAAAACATTTTTTTTTTGTTACAGCGGTGCTATTCCTACTGTGACAAATCAAAATGTCTTCCATCAAAAAGGAGTCAAAGAAGTTTGGCAATGTCTGTAGGATTTACATGCACATGAATCAAGTTTCAAGTTAAGTGTTTTCCTACTTTATTTGAACTTCTCTTTTAATGTCCTCTTTGCAAAAAAATTATAATATGAGTGTTAACATTAGCCTAACTTGCCAGTATTCTTCTTTGCCTCTCCTACATGTAACGTTGCTGCCATCTCTTAGTCTGAATATTGAAGTTGTTGACATGAATTACTGACCAGTAATTATATAATGTATTTAGTAAAGGCACTACACACTCACTCACTCACTTCACTTCCCTGATTAGACTCTTTGGAGAGACTGTGCTTGACTTTTGTTGCAACTGTTTGGGTGGGAGAGGTTACACCATAACATTCTTATTGGTTCATGAAGCTTGGGTAGCATAGATCCAGCGAGTGAGTGTGGGTGCACATGGTCTTAAGAGTATTTAACAGTATTCTAACCTGTACTAATACTCTGCCCCTCTCTGTTGCTGTATAATGTATTGTATTTTTTCAGCAGGCTGAAAAAGGCAAGAAAGGGACTGCTTGTAGTTCTTTAGGTGAGTCCTTATTTAGATTGATAGGTGTTGGTTATTAAAGAGGTGGTATTATACTTTTTGGCTTTTCCCCTCTCCTTTATTTAGTTATATTTCTTTTTTGTGCATGTAACAGGTTTGCAAAGTGAAAAAGCCCAAAGTCCAGCCCAAAGGGAGTTCCCATCTCCCACAGAAAGCTCTGCTCAGAACCGCTTGAAAACAGCTTGTTTGTAGTCCAGCCCTTCACTTCCTTTACTTGTGACGTCACAATGAAAACGCGTCCTAAAGCTTGCCAAGCGGCTAGTGGGGTCAGGCACGCCCTCTAACCAAGCTAGTCTGAGCGGAGGCCTTTTGGCTCCGACTCGCCTTTGTTTGGTTTTCCATTGTAGAAATGTTGTACCTGTACCTGCTTCCAGGTACTTTTTTTCGTATCACCTCACCTCCGTCGAGGTTCCAAGCAAGCTGAGGGAGACAGATCAGCAGTCTGTCATGTTTTCACGTTAAAACGTAACACGACAGACTGCTGATTGGTCAGAGAGAATATTCACTATTCACTGCATCATCATTGCTTGCGCCAGACAGAGGCCAGCAACAGAAAGTTTTATATTTTACAGTTTTTGTATGGAATTTCATCACTAAATCCACTCCAGAAGTTTTGAGGTGAGAAATCAGCTGTGTAGATTTCCAATATTGACAGTTTTATGAGGAGTGATGGCGGAACAAAAATGTGCTTGAATATTTTTGGAGTTAAGGAGCTCTGCAAGTGGCAACCCGCAGGAGGAGCATGTGAGGCCGGCCAGCCGCCCGCTCACAGAGCCCTCTGCTCCCGCCGTCACACAGACCGCTGCAGCAACAACGGCAGAGGAAAACACAGCTAGAAGGTTTTCATACCGCTTATCTGTCTTTACGTTCTGAGGAATGTTGAAACGTTTTAACTTAAAAAAGAGAAAGCTGTGTGGATACTGTACTATCTGAAATGGGAAACGGAGCAGGGCCGAGTAGAGTCGAGTCTATCGATTTGCGCTATGGTCGCATTTTTCGGCAAGGCAGCATAGATCGTCAGAACACCGGCAACATTTCAACGTTTAGTCCTAAAAGACGATGCAACTCCAACTCTGTTTGGACAACCTGCAAGTATGCTTTACTGGTTGTGTATTATATTTAAAATAAACACGGTAACTTCACAGACTGTTCAAGTGCGGAGTTGTTGTAAATGTTGGCTAACACAGCTAAAGTTATAGCTATAATGCTAACATTAAACCAGATGGTGATTTTTATAGCGGTTTATGTTAAGATGTGGAACAATGATGTTGTGTTCTTATACCACCTTCTAGGTTACGGTCGCAGTCTGAAGTAGCTTTGATTTGGATCACACTACATTGTTTCTTATGACCCGCCCTTCTCTGGTTCTGATTGGCTAGTAGTCCTTACCTGGGAAGTGCGCATTTGCAACTCCCAACAAATATTTTGTACAAGTAAGATGCATCACTCTGTAGCTCAAGAGCGGAGCGTACAACACACAGGGTGAAAAGAGGAGCTGCAGCAATGTGCAGTATGAGAAAAATATGGTGTTTTTTGAAAATTATACCATGTAAACCTGTTCTGGTATAACCCCTAATTAAGATTTTGAACCTGAAAATGAGCATAATACCACCTTTTTAAGACTCACTGAAATCAAGATGTGAGAACAAACTGTGTAAAAGCGTGTCACTGCATGCACACACACATGTCCTGTGTGTGTATGTGCTGCACTGGTGTGTGTCGCCCTCTCTCTGTCCAGCACAGAGGCAGGGAGAGCCAATCTCAGCTCTCTGTGTTTAATCAGGCACTAGACACAGACAGCCTGCCATGAGAGCAGCGAACCCAGGACGTGATGCGAATCGGGATTCCTGATTTTCTTCACCCTCTTCCCACACGCAATGTGACACAGCCCTGTGCTTCAAGCTAGCAACATTCAGCTATGTTCACACTGTATTGCTGCTGTTACATTTACATGAACAGGAAACTCTCTCAGAAAAAGAAACCAGAGAACACATGACAGAATCAACAGAGTGTACTTTCGCTCTTCAACGTTCATTTTTTTTTCGTTTCATGATTTCTATCTGGCCTTCTCAGTCACACACGCTGTCCTGCAGACACATACAAACAGGGTATATAAACAGCTCACTGCTGGTAGGATAAATTGCTTCTGACTGCTGTTTGATGAAGACTTCAGTGAACAAGCCTGTTTCTGCAAAAAAGCCCAGAGGTGGATGCAGAGAAAGAGAGGGAGCTAGGTAAGCTTGTAGGGAGCGGTCAGAGAAAGAGGCTGGGTATGATGATGAAAGACCGGGAGAGAGCGGCAAAAGATAATGGATGAGTAAGGGAAGAAAGTATAGAGAGGCTGGATAAATAAGACAGAGAATGAGATGAACCTATTCTTAAACTCCTGCATCCTCAATTTCAACCAAGCCATGCCAAGTGAAAGTATTTTACATAAAAAGACAGAGCCAGATGGCTGATTTGGCTCTTAAACAAATTGATAATCAATTAGACGGAGATTACATGCCAAGAATAGCCCACCACAGTACTGTACAGAATCTGCAGTTTTCTTGTTCTTTCACAACACTTATGCAGAAACACATTAGTTTTATTTAAAAATACAAAAGCAGGGCTAGAAAAGACAGAAAGGCGTCAGAATCCAGACTGAAAAAGAAGGTACAAAGAAGGGAGCAGGATGGTGAAGAAAAGCGAGAGAATGTCAAAAAGAAAGACATAGTAACAGGCTCCTGCTGGTGACAGGAAGCTCCTCTGAGACCTAACACCCACTTTCTATTAACATAATGGCACTGGAGCATCAAACGCAGTCTGCAGACTAGCTGCTGCCCTCAACCTGCTTCTTGTCTCTCTGCTTCATCTCTTTTGATTTGCAGTCAAAGGGGCTTCAGTGACTCATTTTCTACACCATCAAACATGCACTTAAAAATGCTCAAGAAGACACACACTTGGTTTGTTTAGCGCAGATTCATGCACATTACAACATCTGAAATCAAAGTATTTATCCTGCCCTTATACTGCATTATGTCCACATGATGCAGGCCAGGATGCATTCTCGCAAGGTGAATACTCCAGTGGTCAAATTTGTGCAAATAACACAAGGCAAAAATGTGCTTTGCTTTCTGTGTAAAAAGAGCTTAAAATTCCTTCAAGGATGTACGCAATGCATTTTTTGTTTACAAGAAAATTCCACAGGGTGCCTTTAAGATACTTTCCCTGATTTTGTTTTAAAGTCTTACCTTTCCTCTTAGCTCAATGCTGTTTTAAAAGTGCGTTTATCAATCCAAGGAAGGTTAAAATCAAGGGCAACTGGACTGGTTGGGGATACTCAGAGAGGCTTTTTTGTTTAAAAACATCAAAAGTGACATGTGAAGATATATTTGGGCAACACCGCTGGGCTCTGCAACAAAATCAAGCTTTAAATGAAAGTAAATAATAAGAACCTTAAAAAGATACTATGTGTATTTGGAGTTTAAAAATCTCTCTTTCTTCTCTGCCTCGGCTTCACTGGTTAGTGACATGGACAGATGGTCGGGGTTAAATCATTTACAAACCAAATAGGAGGGTTCAAAGCACAGAACTGGGAAGGATGCAATGGGCACACCCCAAACAGTGCGACGATGGAAGAGTTGGGCCGTGGCCCAGCAACAGAAAGATGAGACTATTTTGGGACCTTATTCCTAGTCTTAACACCTCCAGAGAGACGTGGAGGGGGAAGTGATGTTGACATTAGAAAGAAAGTGTGTGTGCGTGTTCCGAAAAGACAAAAGGAACAATAGTCAGGTGGAGGGAGACAAAAACTCTGACGTTAGAAGAGCCACAGCAGAGGGCTATAAAAAGATACTTTGCTCACAACAATTGCTGGTGTGTGCGTATGTGTGTGTTCCTGTGTGTGTACTTTTACTGTATTGATTCAAATTGAGTGCATATGGAACTCCAGGCGCTTGTAAATTTTCATTCATTATGCCTGTTTGTACAAATCTGTGTGTGTGGTGTGTATGGATGTTAACATGTGTACACAGTGTGTGTGTGTGTGTGGGGGGGGGGTGATTTGTGCAGTGAACTCACACTCACATGCTCCTGTGCTTGCCACGTTTCTCATAGCACATATTGATATTGTTGGGGGAATTGCAGCATGTGAGTTGTGTCTTCACAAAGCACAAGGTAACAGCTGTCATGGCATTTGCAATCCTTGAAACTTGAACTAAACAGCATGTGTATATATATATATATATATATATGTCCGAAGCAGGATCAAAACCGCCAAATTTAAGACTTTACCCCTGTTTTAACACACATGATTTACAGTTCAGTTTTATATCAATTTAGGGTAGGGCCTGGCAAAAATGTTATTGCATTAAAAAAAATAATTATATCAATAATTATTATTATTATTAATTATTAACAGATATTTTAAAAATGTTTTCTGTAGTTTTATACATTTGACACTTATTTATCAAAACTTTAATATATTTTGTTGGACTTTTGTTCAAAGTACTATTTAGAAGAATAAAGTTTATTTTTAAACTGCATTATGTCACGGTATCTTGGTATGGTCTCAACATTACAAATATTAGGGAATATCTTTGTTTATGTCATGTGTTTCTCAATATAAGGGGGGAAAAGAATATCAGCCGACATATAGGCATATCAGATTTTAAAATCCTCAAATATCAAAATCAGTAACAGACTATCACAATAAATATCAAATCATTATTTCTTTCAAGTTTAAAGGCAGATTTCTGCTGAAAGTGAAAGTTGAAGAAACTATCATCTGCAGCATCAAAGTAAAACCTGTTAGCTCAACACTTAGCTTTATCCAAACTACATAGATGTCACACAGTTCTTGTGTTGGCACTTTATATCAGCATTGAACAGCAAGTATTTTCCTAAAATATTGTTGAAAATGAGCTAAAGTTCTAAAAAGAGTGGGCTGGTGTGTGTGTGTTGTCGCCTTACCACTTCCGGGGGCACCCTGGTAGCCAGATCATGGATGGCCTTTCCAATAATACACAGGGAGGAGAGAACGAACACAACCCCAAGGACTACACACGCTCTGCGGACAGACAAACAGACAGAGAGCAGAGTTTTAGGAGTTAGCTTCAGCCAGTGCGATCTGTTTGCTAAACCTGGCATGAGGAAGTTACCTAAAGGTTGAACCAAAGAAATAATCTAAAGAAGCTGACTCTTTGTTCTTGTGCATTCTCTTGCATTTGAATCAGGATCGTTTATCATTTTCCTGCTGCAGGGAAGACCCAAACAAATGTTTGCATCCTGATATAAGTAGTTATAAATGAGTGGCCTTTGGCAGTCTGGCAAACTAGTAATGTTTGTTTACAAAACTCTGAAATATAAAAGGAACAGTTGAACAAATAATCCAGCCCTTAACTCATGCCCACTGGCTTGATTTACAGCCAGGGCATCCCCAGACATTTAACAATAACATTATCAGTGGCAGTGTAGTGGTACACCAGCTGATGCTTCAATTCCCTTCATTCACACTAAAGATTGAAGTCAGTTTCCCAGGCTAATGATAAAACGTAAAATTAGCCACATGACATTGTGTCTGCATGATGTATAATGTTACAGCAGTAACTGAAGACTGAAAATGCACCTCTTGATGCCTGATTTGAGTGATACATAAGCTACGTCTAATCTCAAAACCAAATTTAACAGCACAGTCACAGTGTTTGTCAGATGTCAGCTGAGTGTTTACAGTCTATTTGGGGCACTGTGTGCAAGCAGAATAAACAATTTGCCGTCTTTCGACAGATCGCTTGAGGGTGACACTTTGTGATGTTTGTTTATAAAAAAATATGGGGGTTAAAGCGGTGAATGTTTTTGGAGGGCGGGGCTACAGGCACACTCACTTGCTCTGGCAGCAATGGAAAAAGATACGGTCATTGAATACCTCTCCGTTGCTAGATTATTTTCAGTCTCACTTCCTCTGACACATCTGCTGGGCCCAAATTACCATATCTGTGTCCCATCTATCTCTCCACAGAACAGAGACACGGTGTCTGACAGGTGCAGTGAAGTGGTGTTCATCCTTTACTCATCTGGATGGTGGTTGGTCACACCAAAACTAAGGCTGCATATTTCTGAGAAATTCTTTTTGTCCGAGACACTTGAAAATGACTTAGAGTCACTCCGATTGTAAATTGAGTTCCAGCTGGAAATGGAAATGTTAAGTGCTAAAACATGCATTTATAAATAAAAAAGTGGTACATCAACAAGACTGCCAAGGAACTGTAGTTATTACCTGCAGATACCATAGCTAAAAAATATAATGGGAGAAAAGATGACATGAAATTAAAAATAGCTAGGGAATGCAAATTAGCCTATATACACTCTCCATCCAAGACTTTTTTCCCAGTCTTATTCCAAATGGGTATTACAGTGATATCACCCCATTTCTCTGACTCTTTTGCCTCTGTATCTATTCTCTCAGTTTGGGAAAGTCTTATTCTGTCTTATTCTTACTTTTTTGTGCTACTGTTACATACATTGCTATTGTAAAACAAGCTGTGGCTTGTATTCCCATGTGGGATGGGCCAGATGTTTGGCATGAAAGGAATTAAAAATAACAAACTAATTTACATGTACCAGCCTACAGGAAGTCTGAAACTGGGCCCTTCTCCACAAGGGTGAGCATAAACTGCATTGGTCATACTTGTGTGTGAGTAGATAGATGCATGCATATGTGTTGTCTGGTTTTGTATGTTTGGCTTCACATTATAATAAGAAGTGTAAAAAATGTTGTGTGGGCTAATGATTTTACACATTCAGTGTGTGTGTGTGTGTGTGTGTGTGTGTGTGTATGTGTGTAACTGTGAGTTTGAGTTAACAGATGGTAAAGTGGCAGCTCTGTCTTTAATCCTCTGCGACACCTCTGAGCTAAGCAGAGGTGCTGTTGTGAGACGAACAAGGCTCCGTACAATCTGAAAGCCACTTCTTGAACTGAGCTGCAGCAGCCCTGAAAGCTTAGCTGTGATATACAAGGACTAGGAATAGGTAGGAATATAATGCTCCACCCCTCTCAAATAATGATATAGAGTAAAATGAATACTAAATAATAATAATTAGTAAATTATTTAATCTGTCGGATCAGTTTTAAGAAATTGGCTTTCCAGATTTCTGTTGAAAAATCGGGAAACACATTATTTTTTCCCCACCAGAATGTAACTTCTATGTAATTTATTTTTCAGAAGAATATCAAAACATGTCACACACATGAGCATTAACTGAATGGATTGGCAAAGAAATGAAGCCATTACACAGGCCTATTCAACTAGCAGCCCACGGGCTGGTCTGACTTCATTCACTGAATGTTTTGATGAGTATAATGTCAATCATTGGTCTTCACAGTCTTCACCCAATTAAACATCTTTGGGAGATCTTGGACCAGTGTATTAGACAGCACTTTCCACCCTCATCAAAACACCAGAGGGGGATCACTATGTAAAGAACAGTAGCTCCAGTAGAGTTCAGAGACTTACGAAGAACCTACGACAGGGAGCACTGAAGCTGTTGGTGGAGCCTGGTGGACCAACAACTGTATGTTAGTTTCTCTCTTTGTCACCATTTGCATTTTCCTCATCTCTCCTCTCCTCCTTTCTTCCTGTACCATCTGGGGCTTCAGGTAGGCTGGGGTGACAACACCTGAGAGACAGATCCCTTGCAAGTATCCCCTTTCCTGGGATCAATATAATCTGCCTAAAGCGACCAGGCCAGGTTGTTTTCTCTTGCAACTTCAATCACCTTCATTGTGGCAGTGTCTTTACCAGTGAAACCAACCATTAAAATACTGACAATATTGAAAATAATAGTATAATAGTAATAACAATGATAATAAAGTGAGAGAAGCTCTCTTGCGTTGATGCAGGTAGAGAAGTGTGACCCAAATTGCATCACACCACATATATTCATCATTAATCAAACATTAATTAAACTCAGCACATTTTTATATACTCACATATACTCTCTGTGTGCAGAGTGCACAGCTGCTGCATTGCTGTAGCGCCAAAGGACAATGACTGATGACAGGACGTCCAGCGTAGCATCAAACTACAGCAGAAACAGAAGAACCGAGCAACGAAGGAGGAGAGGAAAGGGTCTTGATTTGCAAATTATTACAGTAGTAACATCTAACTTACAATGACAGAAAGAAAATAGTGCGTTTCAAATAGCAGCAAGTTGTTAACACTTCTGTGTTTGCATAGCCGCAACAGCCACACAAAATGTTGTATTTTTAAATGTATGTTTTGTGTTTCATGATACTGTCTGATGATGCTGCTGAAATGCTTCTGAAAACACCACTCTAATGTATCAAATGTGTTGTGGCATATGTTGTAAATATCACAATCTTATCTGTGGTGTTGTTTTTTTTTACCAGCACAGGGGAGATGATCTCAAATTAAGATGCTGTGTGATAAAATATGATATAATTTAACTTAAAATGTGCCCTTAATATATATAATAGAATATAGAAGCACTTGGTATTATGGGAACTTTATGTTATTTATCAATTCAGATATTTCAGTTAAGGTTTTATTGCCACAGGGGAATCAAGGTGATAAGCATTATCATCAACATTATTTATGACTGTGTTGCATTTACAAGTTATTCATTCTTAACGAAGACTAAAAAGTGTCTTACTCCCCTGAAGCTGTATCATAAAATATGGCAGATCATTATCATTTGTTGTCACATAACGTACCTGGAAAAGCTAAAAGAAAAATGTAGACATCAGAGTAACTAAAGCTACCAATGATCAGTTGCTTTGATCTAACTCCTCTGTGTTATAGCAATTTATTAACTTTATTAAAGCTGTCATACACAGCCCAGCACTTGCTAATTAAAATCCAATCGCTAATAAAGAGATAGCTAGCACTGAAGCTTATGGGTTATAATATCTTAATCACATTATGCTAATCAGATTTCCCCTCACTGGCCTAGGGTGTGTCTTGTTTAATTTTCATTTCAGCCTTATTAAGTCTTGTTTTTAAACTAATTGCACTCTCAGTCACCTCCTCCAAATAATAAGAAGTAATAAGAAGCTTTATTTTGGTTAAAGCCAGCGGATCTATTGGGCAAACACAAAGTGCATTTTATCATTCAACCTGACCTCCCTCTTCTCTGCCCTGTTACCTTGGAAACAAAGGGACCAATAACACTTTGGTAACAGGAGTCATTAATAAATCACAGGGACCAAAGTTATTTCTAATTGATCTATGCAAATGGTTGGAAGAAGGGAGGTGGAACTCACGGCAAATCCAAAGGCTGACGCGCTGTGTCTCATAAATGATACAGCTGTGTGGAGAGAGAGAGAGAGGAGTTAGTACTGATTGATTCCTTTTTATTTCAGTAGTCACTTTTATGGTTCAATAATAACAACATTTATTTGCAAGATGTGACAATTAATGTCAAATTTTTCCAGTTACATTACAGATATGTTTATCTGCTTATACAATGCTTCATGTTTAAACATGAGGCCTTTTGTGCACATAAAATCTCAAGTTAATAATGTAAAATGCAAAATAATTACATGACAAAACATTACAGCGATGAGATTGGTGAACTGAAACAACAGTGTTGCAGCCTGGAAAAACCAAAACAATGAGCTCAAAGATACTAAATCAGTCCATAGAGCTGAGGGGAACTGAGGAGTTGAGACATAATTCTCTGTGGGTTCAAAGGCAGGACACATTACAGGTAGTTATACATATATTGATTAGTGCACCTTTATATTTTGCGTAAGTTTGTATTTGCATTTAATGTAGTTTTAGATACTGTTGTAGGCTGCATGGGTTTATATAGGAGTAAAGTTCAAGTTGCAAGGAGACAAAAAATTAATACATTTCATCTAAGCACCCCTAAAAAATAATACAATAATTTGTCATTATTTTCTGAAAGTTATTTTTTGTCCTCTAGCGATTTTGAAGAAGTAAGAGAAGGGACAACCAAAAACCTACAGTTTCTTATGGCTTTTCTTACATTAACATACATATTTAATGTCCCTAAATACTGACATTTTTCAGTATCAAATGTTTTGCTGAATGATCCACGACTGCGCTGGCGGACCGGTCAGCTGCAGAAGAACGTTGTTTGGGTGTCAGTCTGGGCCAAACTAATGCTGCGTTCGGAAGTCAGAAGTTTCGTGCATGATGCCGAAAGTGAACGAAAACCATGGCTGACCGTAACACACAGTAGCACCCTCAGCAGTGTTTTAGGTGTTACTTCAAAGGACGGCTGTTTAACTGCAACAACTGAAATAAATAGCCTATACGTTACTAGTTAACTGTGTACCCCTCTAGCTACATCAGTTGGTAACCCTCAAGTCATTCAGTGTTGTAGGTTACACTTCATAATGTTCTGGCATTTTTAACAATAACTTTTATGCAGAGAAGATGACTTTATTAGAAACTTTACTGTAGCCAGCTACCTAATAGGCCTAAAATATTTCTACATCAATTTAAATACATGCAAATATACATTTTGTTGCCTTTTAGTTTATGGTTTACCATTTACATTGTGTGCTTCCATGGGAGCTGCTATTGTTTTGTGACGTCATTCAGCTGCTACTCGTGAAGTAGGGGTACATATTTTTTCTCCGAGTTCACAAGTAGGAAATCCGACTTCAGGTGGCGTTCCAGAACGCAGCATTAATCCAAAACCTTTTGCACCGGTTTGCTATATTATATATATATAATAAATAACGGTTTGTTATCATTCCAAGACATCCTTCTATAAGCGAGGAATCTTTGTGTGTCAGTATGTATATTAGCTGTTATCAGTGGAGTGATGGAGAGGGACAAGGTGAGGATGACCCCAAGCATGTTGATGAGGAGGGAGAGAAGAAAATAGAGGAGCTGCAGGAGGAGGAGAAGGAATTAGAAAATGTATTATTGTTAGTCATATTTATTACTGATGGTCGTCTCATGTATATGCAGCTGTACAATCAGCAGAGGCAGAGTCCAGCACAGAGGAAGCTGAGCCGGGGAGAGGCCTACACAGAGCTGATGTACACATAGACACACACTGCTCTATTTTATGGGACTGTGTGTAGTTTTTGATTATATTTAACTATTTTAGCTCCCTGACGGGCTGCACACATGACATGTTGGTAGTAGTATACTGTAACTTACGCTGGGCATATTTGAAATTAGTTTTAATTTAATGTTAGAATACTTTAAACTCCACAGATTCTGTGTAACCAAAATAAAAGACTTTTATTAACAAATTAAACTCAATCAGCAACAGAAAACTACTTCCTTAAAAGAGAAAGCAAGCATGTAACAAGATTTAACTGAAAACACAAGACTGAACACTTAAATTAGTAAACACAACACCCTCCCTCCTCTGAGGGAATAAACACGACCCTACAGCTCCACACTGCTGTCTGACCCTAACACTGAACCCACATGGGTCATAGACACTTACACAGGGGGCCATGTCCCCACCACATTTTGGAATGGCTGATTTTGGCCCCACCACTTTTTGAAAGCATATGTTAAAAATGTTCTGAAAAACAACCCCAATAAATGTTAACTAACAAATGAAAATGCTTTGAGAAAGGTTTATTTGTACAATAAGAAAACATGCAATGCAATGTAGTTTTCCCTCATATAAAAACAGACATTTCCACCGTAAATTGGAGCAGAAAATGTCTCCAGAATGCAGGAAATTACCAGTTTAATGCTCAAAATCTTCAGGGGGAGGAGCTCCAGACCCCCCGCACATATATTTCCGCAAACATTTAATTTAAATAGTGTTAAAAATGTTCCTGTCTTGTTGTCGTGCATCGTCACGTCTCATGACCCAAATGTATCATCAGGCCCCTAATCTGAACCCTTATGTCCCCACCACTTTTCAACACAAAGTGACACCCTTGACTGACCCGCTCCGCTCTGCACCAGCTCCTCTCAAGTAGGCCTCCTTATTCTCTCCACCGATTAGTGAACAATTTTGCAAGGCATTGCATGCTACATTCTGAGCACCCCTAAAGGTCTGATCCTAGAATCGCCCCTGGTTTAGGCATCAAAACTACTTGCTTATGTTTAGGAAAAGGTTATGGTTTGGGTTACTTACCTATGTAACTATGTAACTTAAATAAAAACATTCAATGTTGACTTTTCGTTTCACACAGGAAATAAACATTGGTGTCTTGGGTAAAAGTTCAGCTTCTGGTCCACCATCCATCCGGACCACCTCCTTACATGGACTTTTCTGTTAAAGATCCTACACCTATGTTTAGCGTGGTTAACTGACTCTAGTGGTTTCCCCAGTGTGTTGCAAACTGACGTCCATATGTGACGACTTGGGAGTGAAACATGTTAACATAACAGCTGCATTATCTGAACATTTTGACAATTTGTCACAATTAAATGTTTTAACATTTACTAATCCTTTTGAAGGCTCCGTCGAGCCTGGCTAGATACATGAAGGTTTCCTGAATTGGACAGAGGGTATTGTACATTCATTGCAGTGCAGTCCTCGTCTAGCCCACCTGCGATTTTTTGCCCTTCTGTCCTCTGTCCTTGTGTTACTCTCTCACTCCCTCTCTCTCCCTCTGTGTTTTCAGGACAGAATCTCAGGGGACAGCATATCGTCAGTTAAATCACCATGGTAACAGGAGATTTGAGGCCAAGCTGGTAGTTGATTTGAACTACAGAGCTTTTATGTTGCTTCTCTCTTTCTCGCCTCTTCATTCTTTGTCTTTGTCGCCTTCCTGATATTTTCTCCTGGCCTCCTTTTTTGTATCAGATTCTGGTTTCCTTTGACACATATCTCTTTCTTTCTTTCCCTTCCTTACTATCTCAGCATCTCTTGTCACATGTTTGAGTGGTGGCCTTTCTGGCTGCTTTGTCTTTTATTCGTTCTCTTTAGAGCTCACTGCTCCACAGTGGCAGACTTGGAGTGACGTTGCATTTAACCAGCCACAAAGGAATATTTAAACATAAGTTACAAATAACTAATGTGAAAAAGAGCAGCTTCAGTCTGAACCACCATTACGCAAAAGGGATAGAATAGAGAGAAAAGGGGAAGAAAGGGACGAACAGGAAGGGGAAAAAAGAAACAATAGAGAGAAGGTGGAAAGGAGGAATTAAGGAGTGGAGAGGAGAGGGCAGTCCCAGACAGACCCCTGATACAAGGCATATGGTGCTAGTCAGGCTGGTTGTGTAACACATGACTGCCCACACGCACTCACATGCATATGCTGTCCCTGTGTCTCGCTCTGTCTTAGAGACCTTCACCCACAGACTCCCTCTCTTTCTCACTAACACGTCCTCTTTACTGATTGTCTTCTCTCTCACGTACGAAGCTTCATTCTCTCTCACAAACAGAGGGAGAGCTGAATCTCTGCAGCTCCACCAGGCCTCCGACCCATCTGGAGAGTCCAGAAAGTGAGCCAAACTGACAGAGTGCTTTTACTGTGAATTCAAAAAGCAAATACAGGGCAATGAGACAATTGGAAACTCCTCACTTTACTGTACCTTTGTCACGTTGCTTGAACATATTTCCTTTTCTCAGTTTGAGCGGTGTCAAATTAAGCTGTAAGCTGCTTGTTAGCTGATCTGCCAACCGTTAATAGCAAGAAATGTTGCATAACACTGTTCTGTTCTATGTGGAAGAAATTAAGACAGATGATCAATAAAAGGAGCGAGGGAGCTGAAATCACGTGGTAATTATATTAAGTATGTCTGTAGGTCAATACCACAAACGCATCATGAGACTAAGGAATCTGCACTTGTGTTTCTATTTGTACATCGGGGTTCCTCCCGCCTCTGTTACCGCACTGTCATTTCACAAGAGTTAACTTCCTGAAAAAGAGTAACTTGTAGCATGTATTAGTGCTGTGTCATTATAATAGTTTTAAATAAGCTAATTATCAGTAACACACACAGTTGATCCATTTTTAACAAGAGAGAACAATGCTTGTAAAAAAACAACAACAAAAGCATCTTTAATATTTTGGTGTGAACTGTGTGTTTAAGGTCATCACTTAAGATTTCCTTTTTTCAAGATTTCAGACCTATCAGAAAAACTGACACTTCATTCAGATTCTTCTTGACTTGAACTATTACTTTTTGCTGGGTCCATGTAGTAATATAAACGTCCTAAAAATAACTGTGTTTCTTACCACATTAGCACACAGCCAAGTATCAGGAAACAGCGGTATTTCCACACCAACTAATAGCTTAAAAACAAAGATAATCTGGATTTCTGTTGCTCTGATTTGAGCTAATCACTTTTAGTTAATCTGCTGGCTTTTTATAATATGTCTCATGTCTCACAGCTAATGAACAGAC